AGAGGCAGACAGCTCCTTTGATCTTTTAGCTAGGAGCAAGGTGAACCCTCTTTTTGCGAAACTTTTCCCACAACTAAAGCCGTTCAATTTGACTCTTGAAGCAAGGGAGCCATCTTACGCCATATGAATGGCGATTGCTTTACCAGTCAAATCGAGACGTCCTTCAATTCATTCACACCTATCGGGAGGCTTATTACCCCAAGGTCTAGAACAAAGAGTAATGTATAAATTTCCCCCCAACGGCCTTCCAGCTAACGCTTTGGGTCTTGAGGATATGTTTCAGCAAACCTCTTGAGGCGATTCAGTTTTATGAATCCAGCTCTCCTACCAATTGGAATTTCTTGATCTGTTCCCTTTGTGAATCCTTGGCCTGGGCATCGCCATTTATCTGCTGGCTGTTCCAGGGCTATATGGGCCGTATGACTCCCCGCCCATGTTGTTACGTCGATACTCGAAGAATCTCATCGCATTACCCTCTGAATTTATTCCAATTTCCGTCCTTAATTGACACCATCTCGTGATCACCGTATAACTAGCTATGACGTAGCTCGTCGGTGAGTTGCTATCTCTCGCATTATCTTCGCGGTCGTCGTCCGTCCAGGCTACATTAGTGCTGAAGCCCTCTATTGATGTCAAATTAACGTAGCCAAAGTCCTAGGAATACCTAGATTACAAGAAACATTCTCTCCCAGGTGCGCGGCTAAATTGTCAGGAACAGATTGCGTGGTTGCCAACTGGAATTTTTTAACAGCAAAAGGCAAGGATAGAGGTTCATATCCTTGTACAGGCATCCATCATACTTATTGGGAGAAAGAGGTGGAGCACATTAATTGAACAAATAAGGTGGGGCTGGTGGCCGATCGAACTTCCAGATCTCGTCACCGACACTTCAGGTCCAGTCGTCTTCTTCTCCACAGCTTCTGCTTTTCTTACTTTTCCTCTCGTCATCTATATATCTTCCTTGTTGACCTCCAGCTTGTGAGCAGTTGCGCCCGGAATTGCCCCCATTTTGGAGCCTCAAACCCTCATTCACCACTCGAGACTCAGATCTCCGTGCAACATGGACGCCTCGTCCGACAGTTATGATCTCAATCTAACGTCGGAGTCTGAAGCCTGTTTTTCTAGTGGCAAGAAATGGAGTCGTGCTGAAACGGACATTCTTCGTGATATCTTCAACCACGACCACGGTATCCAGAAGAACTCAGAACGAGCGTTCTTTAGTTCATTAACAAAACAGGTAGGTGTTTTTACTACAATTGACGGATTGCTATAAATGATTTACCACTCATTACTCACTAAATCGAAGTTCCGTGGCCGAAGCTGGAATGCTATTAAAAACAGAGCAACCACGCTAAACCTGTTCAGTGTTGTGTACGTCGGCGATAAGCGTTGGAAGTTCGCGCCTCCCGAGAAGATCGCAAGCGACCACGATGAGCTCGGCCCGGAAGAGGACTCTCACAAGCAAGGTGGACAGATTGACAATTGCAAATATGGACTACGCGACCCACGATCTTCCCCCTCGTCGCCTGATTTATCACTTCCACCATCACTTTGCAAGAGCTCGCCGCCGCCACCACCACGACTATCACTTCCTTCGCCAGCACCCCACCCTTACCAGTACACAAAGACGTACAGCAAAGCAACTCCGATTACCAGAAGTGTGGAGGTATCTGCTATCCGCGAGGAGCAGCCACCAACGGGCACCCAGCATGCTCGGGGTGGTAGCTCGAACTCCCAGTGCAAAAACGCGTTGCCTAACGATCCCTCTTCCAAGCGCCGCCATACCATCGATAGCCAAGAGCATACGCCTGTAAAGCGGCATCGTCACGATGCTAGCACGTCACCACAGCCATTGCCGTCCCACCAACGTTCTGTGTTGTCGCAGGCGCCATCTAAAGCTGCTCCGGTGTCAAAACTGCCACCATCGCGATCTCTCCCAGCTTCTGAGAGTGTGTCACCCCAGCACGTTATATCTCGACATACAACGATCGGATCACAGGCTCATCAGCTCCGTCAAGAATGTACTCAGTTCGACTGCCTCCTCCGTGGAGTCATTGAAGGAAGACCAGAGCTCAACGACATGGACTCAATCATGGAGATCATCAAAAAATTCAGCAGGGTACGCTCAGCACACCTGTAAAACGTGACCATGGTTCTAACAGGCGATATTTACAACATCTAGGATAAGTCAATTATTTGGAAACTTGTGAAAGCATACATGCGTGACGAGAAGCTATTTCAAAAGATCGCCATCTGCCGCAAACAACGTGATCCTTCGTTGCCAATGGAGTACACGGACGAGGACTTTGACGCAGTTCTGGTGTGGTCCATTGAGAATGACCACATCCTACCCACCACCCCGGTAGAGAAAATGGAGGCAAGTCTGGAACATTTTGCTAGAAACAAGGTGCGACTCCATTTCAAATCATTCCCAACTCACGGGACCCGAATCGGCCGCTGATCCTTCCTGGTGGTGGTAAAGATGGGAGGCTGTCGCTCATGGCTGCACTGGCAATTGGTATACTCGGCGAACCGAGATATCATTCGGGAAATTCATGCGCATCGTGTGGCCATTCGCACCGCGGTAAAAGCTGAGCCTGACGATAGTATTGTGAGAATTGCTAGAACCTCACAATGGCTTTAACTCTCGATCGCTTACCCGCACCCTTAGTGACTCAATGATATTCATTGATAGACTAAAGACTCTGATCTTCGACCACCTTTTGAACCAAGCTCAGGATTTTCAACCTCTGGCTCACTAGACCAGACACTTATCTTGCCATAGTTCATGTGGGAATCTTTGAATCAGCTCCCATACTTCACACTTTGTTCCGCTACTAGCTTCACTAGCATCGCAAGATTCTTAATTATTTGATTTGTTGCGAATAAAAGGCTACTAGACAAAAATTAACAAGATGATATCACAACCACTCCGAAGGACCACGATTACTCTACATAATCTCTTAGCATCCACCAGACACATCAACGCGCCTCACCTCGCCTGCCGCCTTCCGAACACGATTCATCACGGCTAATCCTTCCCGGACTTCGTCGATACTCTCGACAAGGATCAGATCAACACCATCGTTGTCAAGCGTGAGGAGGCCATCAAATAGGCGTTGGGCAGTGACGTTTGGCGCCAAGCGTGCGCCCAGAGGATGGATCTGGGTCGTGATGCTACGGGTGGGATGGAGATGAGCCGAGGTGGCAGCAGGTGAGCGAATAGGGATGGGGTTTGGGACAGTGGATGTGGAAATGGATTTGGAACGGACGCGTGGGGAGGGAGGGGATATGGTCGAGATATACGATTGGATGGGGTCCAGGAGGGCGGAGTCGCTTGTGAGCAGCAGCCCAAGAGTGATGTTCTGCGTGGGCTCGAACCGCGAAATGAGCGAGTCCAGGACAGCGCGTACACTTTCAGTGACGTGAAGTTTGTCTGCTGTACCGTCCCCTGAGTTGGAAGGTGACGACGATTCTGTTGACGGAACGAGGAGGACGACAGGCACTGTTGGGGAGTAATGCCGATATTTCATCCCTGGAGTCGTCGGGGCGCTTTCCTGTTCGTCATCTCGATAGTCTCGCTTGTGCACAAGAACCTTAACCTCGTCCTCCCTCATCCCATTTTCATCGAGGACTCGTCGAATGTCCTCCACCGTCACACCTCCTGGTCGCAGCACTCTCAAATGCCCATCCACATTCAGCCCATCAACGACAGTGCTCTCCAGCCCAACCTGTGAAGATGCACCGTCATCAAGGATGATTCCCACTTTGCCATTTAGGTCCTTGAAGACGTGTTCCGCTTTGGTGGGTGAGGGACGACCGGAGGAATTTGCGGATGGGGCAGCGAGAGGGATGTTAGTGAGGGCAATGAGGGCACGAGCGATAGGGTGTGATGGCATGCGGACAGCAACAGTAGGATGATTCGCTGTTACAACAGGAGGTATTTTGGAGGATGATTGATGTTGTAAAGAGGATGAGTCGCCGGCGGTAGGTGATGTAGAGGACGGGGAGTGAGCAGGGAAGAGTAAAGTGAGTGGACCAGGCCAGAAAGCCTTCATCAGCACCTCATACATGCGCGGAATCGTGATGCCCTGATCAGGCAAAACCTGCTCTCGTAGCATCTTCAGCGAAGAGATGTGGACGATTAGAGGATTGTCACTTGGCCGCCCTTTCAGTTCGTATATCCGCTTCACGGCGGCAGTCGAGTCAGGGGTGACAATGGCTCCGAGACCATAAACGGTTTCAGTGGGGAATGCGACGGGCTCCCGGGTGACGCTCAGGTGCCTGGCCGCCGTGTTCAGAGAGTCGAGCGTTTCTTGTGATGTAATGTGAGGAGTACATGTATCGATCGCCGAGGAAGTGGAAGATGTAGAAGGTTCTTGATTCCTATCATCAACAGTTCCTGTAAGCACAAGAATAGCCAAAGATTCAAGCCACACACTCAACTGGGATATTGGGTCCTCCACGAAAGATATGGAGGATGGGTCGACAGGAAGCATGCGAGTGACCACGCTATGCTCTCGGTGCAGCTTATGGCTCGACGGAGACGACATGATGGCTTGATCGCTTTGGAGAGATCTGTACACCGAGCTTTCGGCAACAGTGTGCACTGAGCGTGAGCGCGTCGAGCCTGATCTTAAGGTAGGAAAGATGCGAAAGGGCGAGGAAGATGAAAGAATGATCGCTGACTCCGATTTCACGGCCAACTGAATTGAGTGGAAGGATCCCGACCCAAAATGTGGCGTCTGGAGGACACGCAAATTGCGCGAGAGGCGCAGCAAAAGGCACAGCTTTGCTCGAGAGTAACGAGGATATAAGATGAAAGTTTGTGATTTCGAGCCTAAATTTGGTCGAACCCTTCGGTTTTCTCGTTAGGAGTCGGCTAGAATTTTGGATGAACGATGAGTCACGGTGTTCGCGTTGAGCCACCTCGTCATCGCAGGCCACGGCCAGCACAAACAACCGTCAATATGATATATTCTGCCAATGTCGTTAAGCACGGTGAGGTGGCCGAGTTGGTCTAAGGCGTGAGATTAAGGAGCTTGTCTTCATCTTCTCATCTATTCGTAGGCGCGAGTTCGAATCTCGTCCTCATCAATTGGTTCTTTTTTTGCATTTTGTTTTCACGCATGGATCGACAAGAACGAATGAGATTCCATAGCATCGTGTCGTAAGGACATCTATGAATAGTATGTACAAGTTGTTGACGGATCGTAGCAGACAAATTCGAAACAGCGACCAAACGTTGGCATTGGACGTAACTTCAGAGAGGTTGATTTTTCAAGATGGTTGACCCGACGAGCTGATGGCTCTGGACGATTCAGGAGGTTAGATCACCTACTGCACGACCCAATCACACGTGCCAAGACCAATACGGGACAGCTGGTCCCAGTAAAAGACTGAGGGGGGTATCATCGTCAGCTGACAGCAGGGGGTTCAGAGTAATCATTCAAACGACTGACCAGTAGCATGGGCGGCAACACGTCCAATAAGAGGAATCTTTTGGATGAGAACGCCAATCTGCTCACGGCGCTGCTCTCCTGGCTGGAGGAGGTGGGCAGCACGTTGGGCCGCAATCTCCTGAGGAGAGAACTTGGAGTGGACAGAAACGGGAGACCCGTAAAGCATATGGCTCCCTGTATGAGCAACATTGGATTAGAGCGGTTATAGTCAAAAGAATAAACGAGAGCGCACCAGAAACATTATTATTCTTGGGGTGATCCTTCATGATAAGTTCAGCGCCGAGATGGGCGAAAGCGAAGGCGTTGTCTAGCAGGAAGTTAGTTAGGATTAACCACAAAGACTGATGACGAGGGATAAATGGACTGACTAGGGCTGACAGTAATGCTGCGGCGATCTCCCAAGTCGGGAAGAAGAGTCGCAACGACATCGCCGTTGGAAGTGATGCGCCACATAGTCTTGAGCTGGTCGGGCTTATTCTTCATCTTCTGGTTGAACACTGGGGTAGAGGGACTCAGTTTATCTTCGTGTGAACCAGCAACGTTCGCTCTTACCATCAACGCTAGTACGATCCGTTGTGATAGGGGCAGCGAAGATATAGGCGTCACGAAGAATAGCGGTCTTGCCGAGATCTTCATCGTGCATCAGCATACGAGAGTACCTGTGGCACCCAAGAAGTGGTCAGGACTGATAAATCCTCGTGTTTCCTTGTTGAGGACAGCTTACACAAGTGAGGCCACAGCGCATCCGAGTGAGTGGCCCGTGAACCAAACATTAATCTTCGCGTCTGCTCCGAGATTATTCTGGGTCTTGAGCCATTTGGCAAGGGTCTTGACGCCAAGAACAATGGTGTCGTAAGGCCTGAAATCACCGAGACCGCTGACGTCACTGGGGAAGACACGTTCCTGAAAGCATCGCATGAACATCCCGTTCTAATCACTGACTCGATTTGTGTACGACATACCTTGAATCCAAGATGACACTTTGAGAAGTTCCTAATGTCGCTGCCACCTGAATATCACTCCCGTCAGCTGGTCAATTCTCCAATACAGACCAGAGTTTGATAACTCACACTCCACCAACTTCGTATTGAGATCTGACAGCCACTCGCCAAACTCTATTTATATGGATTGATATGGCTTAACATTCACGCGCGAAGGAAAGAGAGAGCAGAGACGCACCAAGAGGAGCGGTACCCTTGAAGCTCACGACAATCCAGTTCGACTTGGGATCCCAGAACAGACCGGCGAAAGCGGATGAAGTGCTGTTCAGCTCTATAGAGTTTAGGAAGCATTTAATTCGGATGCTCAGACCAGTATGCTGTTGTGATGCTCTTGTGCTTACCGGAAACAGGCTCGAAGTCCATGCCGAACCTTCCGACAAAGTCCCGGATGCGTTGGTCCGATTCGGTGTCGAGAGTAGCTGCCACCTTGTTGGAGGTTTGAGGGCTCCACAAGTCGGCTAACAGCGCACCAGCAGGACGCTATTGGGTGGGTCAGTGATCATGTGAAAGAGCTTATTCCAAAAAGAGGATTCTCGCACCGGTGGAGCTCCAAGTTTGGCACCAATCTTGGCAATCGAAGCCAGAGGTGAGGAGGTGGCCGCGGCAGTAAGGGCATTACCGATAATGGTAGGAGGCTTTAGGTTGGTGACGGCAACTGCTTCGCGGATCGCATCGCACTCGTGCTCATAGATGACGGCAGCAATCTGGAGCCTGAATAAACGAAGAGTAGCGTTAGGTGACGTGATAATAATCGAAAGAAGGGTGATGTACGTACAGCATACGCGCAATGTCGAGATCGAAGCAGCGATGCTCCAGAGTACTAGGGCTGTCTTTGAATGATGCACTAAGAGCTTCTTTGGCAGCTGCAGCTTGCTCTTGCGTCATTGCCTAGAAATTGTTCGAAGGAAGTCCTTGAGCATGCAAGTTATAGAAAGCCTACCTGGAAGAGATTCGGGTTCGCGGAGTTCACGAGTCCGAGCCCCCCGCCGAACCTACAAAGCAAGGGTATTGAGTCAAGTGAAGGGGGACCAATGCATAAAACACTCACTTCTCACTCCAAGCAAAATAGATCTTAACCAAGAGCGGGAACTCCGCAGCGAGACAGAAGATTAGCACAAGGAACAAGACAGCGATACCACCAATAGCGAAGAACCAGATGGACAAGAGATCGAACAAGCCAAGTCCACCGAATAGAGTGGTCTGCACTAGATGCCATGGATCTCATTCGACACAGGGCAATAGGTACAGCGAGATGATTATGACACGTACCACAATAAAGCAAAGTCAGGTACACGAATCGAATGTATCTTCCAGTCTCCAGGAAGATCAGATTCAGGTAGCTGTTTTGAGCCTAAGGAGCAAAAATCAGTCTAGAACGATGAAACTGTTGCTCATGACCCGCTCACAGCGATCGTCCTGATGTTTGTCGGATTTTGGGATATGCTGGGGACTAGATCAAGGTGTTGAGTCTCTAGTTAGGATGGTAGTGGGTAGAGTAGATACCAACTTTCATCAAGGCGAAGCGCCTTCAGTTTGTCGTGAATGTCAGGACCGGCAGAATCAGTGGGAAGAGGGTCATCGTCTACAACAGTCTTCGTAGCGGCAGGCTTGCTTTTGTTGTCTGAGGCTTTGGTCGACATTTAGGCAGCACTGGCGATACACTTGCTGTTGATTGGTGGACTTCTGTACACCTAAGGGGAAACCTTCGCCTGACCTCTCCCCTCTTTTATCTTTCTCAACTGAGAGAGACTCGCAGGTGACATTCCGAGCTAGCATTGGGTGAGCGAGCTCTTGCTTGTGAAAACGTCAGAAAGCTAGAATGCCAGACGGAGATGACGCAAAGATAGAAGAATGTGACCGCCACGAAAGGAACAGTTTGGGTAGCGCATTTGTCTATTTGAAAAGAAATGAGGCATCGCAGCCAGTGGGCAATACAACAAAAGGTCCACAGTCATCGGCCACCACCCACATCAAAAAAGTCAAGCCAATACAGGATATATAGGCTAACGCGCTATTTCCACGTGGGGGGTAGCCCTACCATTGTTGACAAGCCGATGAATCATATGGTAGGAGACTTCAAGCGGAGGCCACCCTGGCCGATGACTAGACTTAAAAGAGGATGGCACATAGTGCATGTGACGAAAGAGCGCAGGAGCCGTTGAGATTGGCCGATGCCTTCTATTTGGAACCGACCGCATAGGGATTCCGTTCACGGTGACAGGTGCGTGCAGATAATGTCAAGATTTTTCACATGTAACCAGAAAAAGAGAATGTGATTATCAATCAGTTGCGTCACTCCCGTTCGCATTGATGCGGCAGTGGGATTCTGGAAAGAGTACTGAAGCTCTGGGACTCTGTTCTGCTCATCATCCTCTTTGTTGAATGTTGTTTTGTTCGTTATTTTGCGAAAGACTCGGGCTCGGGAGATCAGTCGCCGAGCCGGCTTCCCACGGCCTCCTCGCTGCTTCCAGCATCACGTCGGCCACACTGCACACGCCAAACTTGAACAGTGAGAGGCATCAAAACTTCCTCGGGGAGCTGAACTGGCCTACTGATTTCTGTGACTTTAACGACGTATCTAGCATGTCTCTTCCCAAAGTCGTTCTCGTTACCGGGAGCTCGGCAGGTGGCATCGGAGGCGCTTTGTGCGAAGAATACGCGCGCGCTGGATGCATCGTCTACGCAAGTGCCCGAAAGCTAGAATCGCTCGAGGGCCTTGCACAGACCGGGGAAATCCGCAAAATTCAGCTTGACGTCAACGATGTCAAGAATGTGGAGGAGGTTGTCAAGACCATTATTGATGCAGAGGGGAGGATCGACATCCTTGTGAATAACGCGTAAGACTCAAGTGTATCCGACTACATCATTCCGGTACTAAAAATGCGGTGTACAGAGGTGTTCTTGCCGTTGGTCCCGTCCTGGACGTTAGCATCGACGAGGTCAAGGCGGCGTTTGAGACCAACTTCTTCTCGCTTCTTCGCCTTACCCAGATCGTCGTTCCTCATATGGCCGCTTCCTCTGCTACTGATACTAAAGGCCTCGTTGTCAACATTGGCAGCATCACTGCTCTTGTTCCTATTCCATGGGGAGGTATCTACGCTGCGACCAAAGCCGCCATCAAGAGTATCTCTGAAATCATGCACATGGAGTTTGGTCCGCTTGGTGTAAAGGTCCTCCTTGTGGAGCCAGGAGGAATCAGGAGTAATGTGAGCCAAGATGCCCTATCTCTCTAACTATGACTAGACTCATTTCCCATTCTTGCTAAATCAGCTCTCAACGAACTACGCTCCCAAATACAGTCTTCCGTCAACCTCGCTTTACAAGGACTATATCGACAGTATCATCGCCCGTATCCATGTCTCACAGCAGCCCGGGGCAATGGATACAAACGAGTTTGCTCGCACCGTGGTCAAAGCATCCGATATTCCTCCCATTCTATCTTCTTCATCAAAAGCCGTGGCGAAATACAAGTGGAACCCGAAGTGGTATCTCCTGGCAGGGAAGAACACGACCCTGTTCTGGCTCCTTACTTGGCTGCCGAGGACAATGGTGTTGCGATTGATGTGGCGACGTCAAGGCGGCGGGCAGCCCAAAAAGAAGTGAAGTGGCAAGATTTTGACCTGCTCAGTACCGC